CAAAAGAACCAACAGATCTGTGTTGGAAGAAGTGCACCCAGAGTGCTCCTTAGCGGCCAGGATGGCCAAACTTCATCTCTCATACCTGAGACATATTATCAGGAGGGACCAGTCGCTGGAGAAGGATATCATGTTTGGTAAGGTGGAGGGTCAGAGAAAAAGTGGGAGCCCCCCAGTGAGATGGATTGGCAAAGTGGCAGCATCAATGGGCTCAAGCTGGCAACAATTGTGAGGTTGGCCCAGGATTGGGCAGTGTTTCGTTCTGGTGTGCACAGGATCGCTATGAGTCAGTACCGATTCGATGGTACCTAACAACAACAACATATATGTGTGTGTATACAGGAGTCCTGGTGTGATGCTGTAGGATAAGCACTGGACTGCTAATGGAAAGGTTGGTGGTTCAACCCCCCAGTGGTTCTGTGGGAACCCTATACAGAATCGCTGTTAGTGGGAACAGATGTGAGGTACAGACAACAGCAGCATGTGCGTCTATTAAAAACCTAAACCAAGCCCGTTTCTGTGGCGCTGATTCGGAGACCTGGCGGTGACCACGTCACCATGCTGTGCAAACCCAGGAACCCTGGCTGTGCACTGGTTCAAAGCCAGCAGCCGCTCCACAGGACAATGCTTCCTTCAGGACGATGGCCACACAGGCCCTATGGGGTCACTATGAGCTCAGTGCTCCAGGGGGGGCGCTGTCTCCCATGTGAGCCCCTCCCACAGGGCACTCACTTCCCATGGAATCAACATGTGACCATGATGGAGGCCTTGTAGGCCTGCCCGGGTCTCCTCTCCCCCTGTGCCACCTCCCTTAATTAGGACCACCTTCCCGGCAGCACTGAAAGGACCCCATTTCTGAAGCATCCCCACAAACCTGGCAGACTCTGTGTCCACACAGGAAGAAGAGGAAGGGGAAGTGGGAAGCAGACTGGACAATCAGCGGCGTCCCTCCTGCTGAGGACAGGGACGATGGGGGTGGGGGCGGGGGTGCTAGGCAGTCCAGGAGGCAGTGAGACCCCACAGGGTCAACAACAAGAAAAGCCATGAAGGGGCCGCCCAGCCCGACCTCTGTCCCCGTGAAGACCCTCCTCCACCTCTCGGCCCCAGAGATCCCGAAATGCAACCCACCTTGCCCCTCAGTCCAGTCCCCACCCCCCAGCTGTGCTGCCATCATTACCTAGGGGCTGGTAGCCATGTCTCGAGGGGCCCTCGAATGGGCTGCGGCCCCCCAGGCCCCCACCGCCAGCAATAGACCCATAGGACATCTTCTCTCGGCAGACGTCTCTCAGGAGCTGGAGGGGGCAAGAAACAGGAGGAGGGGGTTACAGCTCAGAATCCGACCCTCCCAGGGACCCAGAGCCCAAGTCCCACCACCACCCCTAGTGTCCTCTCATGCCACCGGCTCATCTATTGGGCTGCTGGCACCACAGCCTTGAAGGGGGCGTCACAAACAGGCACCCCACCAAGGGGAGCCCCCACAGGGACCCCACGAAGGACCCCCAGGCTGACCCCCACACGAGTGCTCAGCATAGCTCTGGGACCCAGGCTTTAGGACACCCATTCCCAGCAAGACTGGCCCAGGTCACCGGGGACACACGGGGACACACAGGGACACACGGGCGTCCAGTCCTTAGGCACTGTCCTGGGCCCTGGCCGGGCATGCAGCTGCACAAGCAACTCAGGTCCACACAGCTCCAGGAGGAGGAATGACCCCTACTTTGAAGGTAGGAAACTGAGGCTCAGAGAGGTGAGGAGACACAGCTGAGAGCACTATTTGGTCAGGACAGGGCCTGGGGCAGTGAGGGGTCTCTGAGGGGCACAGACATGGATGTAGAGTGCTGGGTGGTGATGGGGAGGAGTCGTGTGTGACCCCAGCTCAGTGCTGCACAAGCTCCCTGACCCCACTGTCCCCTGAACACAAGGCTGGGGGGGTTTAGGTGCTGAGAATGCTCGACCTGAGGCTGCACTGGACCCTAGAGATACCAGGAGAGGGGAGTGGCTCAGGCCCAGCTCAGAAGGACACACAGGACACAGCTGAGGGGGAGGGTCTGAGGATGGGGTGATGCAGAGAGCCGGGGGGACCAGCCGACAGACATGAGCAAACAAGAGGAGAGCAGAAGCTGAAAGCAGGGCCAGGCCGGGGACAGCGGAAGTTGACCGTTGGTAGTGCCCAAGAATGTCCCTGAGCCCCAGGGCCACTTCAATGAGGCCAGACAGAGGGTTGAAGGGACAATGTCCACTGGCCCACCCACTCACAGGAGGTACTGCCCAGTGACTTCTAGGTCCACTGCCTTGAGCCCTAAGCCGGCACCAGAACTGCCCCAGGCCCGCCCCAGTCGCCCAAGGGGCGCCATCTGTCTTTAGGCTCAGATCCTGTTTACGGGGCACAGGAGGAAGTGGGGGTGCCAGAGAACGCCCACCACAGCCCATTGCTGCCCAGGACAAAGCCCCAGCCAGCAGGACGCCAGGCCAGGCCAACGAGTAGGGAAGTGCCGGGTCTCCTCCCCATAGGCCCAGGCGGGCTGCCCTTGGGGACAGACACTCCCCACTGGTCATCGGCCAGGGTTCCCCAGGCAGGCAGCTCCACTTGGGCAGGACTGAGCCCTTAGCGGACCCAGATCCTGTTCACCAATCTGGGTTCCCACTGAGCTGATTCCCCCAGGTCCCTGGGGTGAGGGAAACCCACAAAGATGCTGTATCAATGAACAGGACTTAGAGTAAACACAGAGGAAACACTGGAATGACCACCATGGCCTGTCCTCCATGACAACAGACTGCTGGGGGGCTGGCCCACACCAATGGTCAGAGAGAGACCGCCCAAGTCTCGGGGCCCCAAAGCTGGCCTGTGGGGAGAGTGTGTTTTCTAGGTCAAAACACAACTGCAGGTCGAGAGAAGTGAAGGAGAGCCAGTTTGCTGTGCCCAGCGGGAGCTGTGTCCCTGCTGGCAGTCCTTCCGTGGGGCTAGCTGCCACCACAGTCTCCCGCCCACACTCTGAACTGGGACGTGTGGCCAAGGAGGACTCAATGAGACGAGAGCTTGAAATGTCCGATCCCAAGGACTCAGGAGAGGGTGGAGGATCCCACAGTTCTGGAATTCTCTCTCACACATACCCCCTTTCCCTATTCCTCTGTGACAGAAAGAACAGAGAGAGCAGGGACCACGGATGTGCCTAAACTGTGTCCCAGACTGACCGATGGCCACTACCAAGAGAGTGTCTAACACAGAGCTCACACCTTGGGGCTCCTGGGGTCCTCGTGGTGACAGGAGTATCAGGGGCCTGGAGAGAAGGGAGCAGAGCAGAGCTGCACCTGTGACCCTGCACTGGGTCCACCTGCTGGCCATGGTCATATGACTCACCCAGCAGACAGGTCCCATGGATCTGTCCCACCACAGAGGCAGGCAGCCTGGACCATGCTGCTTAGAGACCTGCTGAGCTGCCCCCAGAGAGCACAGGGCTGTGGGCAATCATGAGATGTCCAGTCCGGCCCATGTGGCTCAGGTGGATACAGATGCCCATAGGCCTACAGTAGGACCAACACCATGTGGACCACAGTCCTCCACCCACCACTGCGCAGGAAAGGTAGGCCAACTTGTGGACCCTGGAGTGACGACCAGGACCTCACCACAAGGCTAGCCTGGGCCCGAGTCTGGTCACATGTAGTTCCGTGTTGTGTCATGTTGAAAAATGTCCAGAACCTGCTCTGGTGCCACAGAAGGCCTGGGATGATGGCTGGGGTCTCCTGCAGGCACAGGTGATGAATTGAGGCCCCTGGGCAGGGCTTTTCTCGAGCCAACTCCAAGTTCAGTGTTCAAGACAAGTCGACAGACACCAAAAATCCAGCCAGGGCCGCCGCGTCCTCCGGCCTGGAGTGTCCTCGGCCCACCCCACTCCCACGAGGGACCCCTCCTCAGTGCTCCTTCTGCACCATGTGCTAGGCTCTTTCCACCAGACTGTGAGCTCGGTAAAAAGAGGTCCAGGTCCTGCTCATCTTACACACACACCACACCTGGTGCTGGTGTGACATCAGGCACAGATGTAACCACACACACATTCCCCAGATAGGTAGATAGGGGGCACACATCTGTCTACTGATTCTCATCCATTGAGTGAGCCTTGCAGCTCAGACCCACCACAGAGAGTGGGTCCCTAAATGCCACAAAAAGCGGTCTGGCTCCTTCGAGAGATGGTTGGCTCCCAGGTTGGAGCAGGAGAAGCAGAAAAGAAGCCTGGAGCATTTGTTCTGGAAGAAAGTGAGGACATGAGGGGCAGGGGCACCCCAAGGGTACAGCTTGCAGAGACTCCCACCAGCAAAGCCTGGGCAATGTGAGCCCCAAAACACCACAGTCCAAGCCCAGTGCTATGGAGTCAATCCTGACTCCTAGCCACCCTGCACGACCAAGCCGAAGTGCTCCTTAGGGTCTCCAAGACTGTCCGTCTTTACGGAAGCACAGAGCCTCGTCTTTCTCCCTTGGATGGGCTGGTGGGTTTGAACCACTGACCTTTTGGTAAGCAGCTCAAAGCCTAACCCCATGTGGCACCATGGTTGCTGCATTCTAACCCACTGAATGAAAGTCACACTCACAAGTCCACAGTACAGAAATACCTAAGTAGAACGAGACTCCAAGACAGGGAGTCAGGAGATTGAGTACTTTAGAAGCTCAGAGGGTTAGCTCCGTGGACACCCAGTGACCCCGCGGGCCCTAAGAATGCCCCGAGAATGCTAACGCTAGCCAAAGGGTCGTGAGACACAGTGTAGTGTGGTGGCTCCGTAGATTGAGCACTGGACTGCAAACCACAAGGTCAGTGGTTCGAGCCCACCAGTCGCTCGACAGTAGAGAGAGGGGCTTTCTGCTCCGACAAAGAATGACAGACTCAGAAACCCTATGTAGGGTCGCTATGAGTAGGAACCAACTCAATGGCACTGAACAAGCACAACACATCTTTGCCATGATGCGTACTGAATTTTCTCCAAAAGAAGAGCGTTGTCAGAGCTTGCCTCTGTGCCTACAGTTCGAATCCCATTGGAAAGTGGGCTTTCTGTATTATGTTATAACCTGGATGATCATGGGGTGTCTCTTGAGGTCCACATCCAACAGGCTGGTAGAGGAGAGATGGAGAGACAAAGGCCAAGTCCCAGGAAGTTCCCTAGGAGCAGGCACCCTTCCTCCAGACCTCACACACAGAGGGAGCCTGGGTGCCTGGATCCAGACTTCATGCCTCTTGAACTGTGAGAAAGAAAAGGTCTGCTTCTCAAAGCCACCTCTCTACAGTACTTCTGTCACAGCAGCACTGGAGAACTGAGGTTTTGTTACTCTGGGGTACCCAGTGCCGGTGGTGGTGTGGTGTGCCACTGAATCAGTTCTGACTCAGAGTAACCTTGTATAGCATTTCCAGGGCTATAAATTGTTACAGGAACAGAAAACCTCATCTTTCTCCCTTGGAGCCCAACGTGCAACCCACTACACTACCAGGGCTCCTGATGGGACAAATGGTGTCCCCCAAAAAGATGTGCCGAGGGCCTAACTTTGAAAAGGGGGTCTGTGAAGATGTCATCAGTCAGGCCAACATGTGGTCACCCTGGGTGACTGATGTCCTTAGACCAGGAGAAAAAGGGCACCATGTGATTCTGCAGGTGCAGCAAAGATACAGGAAGGGTGGCCAAGTGCCCCCAAGGCTGAGGGTGAGGCAGCGAGTCTCCCTCAGAGCCCTCAGAGGATTTGCATGTCTGATACCCTGGTACCAGACCCAAGGCTGAGGGTGAGGCAGCGAGTCTCCCTCAGAGCCCCTAGAAAGAACAACACAGCTCCAGCCTCAGAGCTGTGAAGTGGTCCACTTCTGATCTTTAAAGCCACCCACTTTGTGGTCCATCCCTCAAGGTATTTATTAATTTAAAATGGAAAACAAGTAACTCTACTGAGGGGAGCCCAACATACACCACCTCCTCCCAGGACGTCCTGTGTGACAGGACGAGCCGGCATCACATCCTCATGTGACGAAGAGAGGGTATCGGGTAGGACCAGGAGACGCTTCAAGAAAATACGTTTCCGAAGGGTCTGCAGCCTTCAGAAACATCACTGCCACACAAGAAGGGAACGACTTCAGATGACAGGGTGGGCTCAAACATGCAGAACCAAGCAGTGTCTCTTTCTGTGTGATGGGGTCGCACCTCACAACACCACCATAACCAACAATGGCTCTGGGATTTTCTTTTGCTGTAAGGGTCATGGGGCAGTGACCTCAGTGGTCAATGCTCACGCTCCAGG